GCAGGCAATGTGTCACGTTGCGAGAGCACTTTGTCATCAATTCCCGCCGCACCCGCCGTTTCACGCTCGCTGTGATGCCTTTCGGGTACGTACGGTGACATGAAAGGAGCACCCGTATACCCCTCGCCACCTACAGGACAATTATCAAAGAACGATGCAACCTGGTATCGAACTTCCCCTGGCAACGCCATCAGCCGATCCAGCCACATGAGATACTCGCCCTCCTCATTCTCGATGCGTTGCACCCATTTTTCTATCGTGGCATAACCCAATCCGAACCCGGCCCCCGTTTCGGGGTCCAGTACTTGGTCCATCGCTATTTGCGCGTGTGTGGCTGTACCGGTCCTCATGCGCGAGGCTGCGAGTGTCGTTGCACCGGTGTGTGTGTGTGTATCGTGATGTGTATCCACGTGTGGGTGCATGTTTACACCTTCTGTACATTCCATCTGTGCCGCCCTTGCAGACCTCTCGCGATGGCCGAAAACCGTCTTACCACAGTGTCCCTCCCCACCCACACCCACACCCACACCCACATCCACACCTACGCGCACTTCGCTTACACCTTCGCCTGCACACGCCACCATTACCTTCGCTCGCTTGCTCTCGGCCCTCTTCTCGTCCTGGTGAGCCGTTCCAGCCCCTACAACACCCACACCACCACAGTCGTTTGCACCTACCGCATCGGGCAATGTCGAAGCGTACGTAGTTGTACGCTCAACAGTATCACATACCCCTTTACTACCTACACTCTCAGTGCATGGTGTTGTGTCCTTAACAGTATCGCATGTCTCTTTATTGCCCACACTCTCCCGCTCCCGTTCCGTCGCAGCAGATGTCAGCTCGTTCGGTCGGTCTGCTGTGCTAGACAATCGCCTCCTCTTCCTATTCACCACAGCACTTTGATGCCCATCCCCCCTGTCCCATCCCATGTGCTTGCTGATGGGGTCGACCATCCGAGTAAGCTCCCTGTATAGACTGGCCACGGGTTGGAATGGTGTGGGGCTGCCATCTCCCGTGCCCTTTAGATGCGCTGAGTTTTCTGCAGCTTGAGTAGCATCAGCGGGTGTTGGTACTGTGGACATTGACGTGTGCGTATTGGTGTGAGTACACGTCTTAAACGATTCAACAAAGGCCAGCCGAGTGCGGGCGATAGTCGTGAAGGCTTGCCCCACATCGTCCATCAGCTCTGCCACTGTGACAAGAGCCAATCGCAGCTCCATTCTATTTATATCCCAGGCGTCGACTGTGCACTTGCTCAGTGTGTGTGTGCCACTGATCCGTGTGTCCCGAGAGTCCTCAGGACAGGGCCGTTGCTTGTCCTGTCCCCAGGACTCACATCGGCGTCTCCAATTGCGCAGCAATACCTCCACCACATGCATTGCGTTATGTACAGCAGCCACACAGTCCGCACACACACACGCTCCTCCGCCTACCGTACACCCCCGTGACCCCGTTGAAGCAGTCGTATCGGCCTGGGAACGCATATGCGTGGGGAGAATGTTAAGGACAGTTAGTTTCAGTGCGAGACCCATGATACATCGCTCACATGACGGGAACCGCAATAGTGAGTTGTAAACACACAGTGTAGGATATAGTGTAAGACTTTCTGCAAGCACCAAGCGAAGTGTCTAGCTACATATCTGGCTACGTACTGCGCTGTACTATAAATCTTAAGAGCCTATCTCCCGAACACCCACTGAGCCGAAGTGCACCTAAGAAACGTACCGGTTCACTCGAGTCTATCGTCCCCCTGAGGATCTCCGGAGACACACATGCGGGTGTTACGTCTGGTATTGGCGTACACGTGGTGGGGTCTGTGGAGTGCACATACATATGCGACAGCCAACGCCTCAGCCAAACAAGGCACGTGTGCAGCTCAGAGCGCTCGGCTCCTAACCGCCACGGGGGATGGTGGCGCAAAACATGCCCAGCGGAAGTTATATCATCGGCTGAGGATGCTGTTAAGATGAACACCCCAGTATAGCAAGCGATATTAGTATATAGTAACTGTAAGTACAAGGATGGATATAGTAGCTGCAAGGTAAAAATAGGGCTAGGCCTTGCAAGGTTGTTGGTGTACAGGGACGAAGCTGTGAGCGTAGCATTGAGGTCAGAGGTAGGGAGATAAATGGACCTTTATTCATCTGTACGGAAACTGTCGTGAGTCTAAAAGTATGTAGTTTGGTATACAAGTGCACGTAAGTATGCATGTGTGCGTGTTACGGAAATATGGGGACGATGATGAGATTGAAAGATATAAATTGTAACAAACATTATACAGATCGGAGAATGAGGAGGTTCTGATTCGGTCATCAATTCCTACACAGATGATAAGAATAAAAAGCCGAGAAGCACAGTATCCTCTCAGAAACAAATGAAATACGTTTGAACCATCGGGAAGTAGCTGGATCAGTAAATACCGACAATTTACTGACACACACGGCTACAAAACTCCGTAACGCGTGCTCGTATAATCGTGTATGCAATTCCTCGGGACCGGCACGTCCTGGATATGTGTTACGGTGTGACCGTTGAGGTTCCACTTATACAGTAAAAATCCACAGTCAGCTGTCAATGATGACACGGTGATTGATACAACAACACGCCGATGCCACGATCAAGTGCCGTTTCGGTCCCAGTACTGAGCCATTCGTAATACTACACAAACGCAAAGAAATTCTATGCGAAAAATATGGAATGAGACAGATAGGGAGAGCCTTCTATATATATATATATATATATACATACATACATACATACATACATACTATATATATATATATATATATATATATATAGTATATATATATATATATATATATATATATATATATATATATATATATATATATATAACATATATATATATATATAGTAGACGACCAACGCTATGAAAGCTGCGCACAGACTATTCGCAACCCATCGAATTCCGATGCGCTCGGTTGTTGCCTGCGTACTATCGTTAAAAGTACTTTGCTCTTGCAGTTGTATACAAACAGTTCACAATGTTGGTATATTAGACATTGTAAATATATGACGGGTTCTGAATATTTGCATTAACTGCCTGCATACTGGTGTTTATAACCAGCAGATGCATATCCTTTGTATTAGAAATAGCTATACACAGAATTCGAACGTCTCTAACACCCGTACATATGAACCAATTCTAGGCAGCGAGGTACCGTACAGTCGGGACAGCCACAACGCACAAGTGCATACAATTTTTGATTTGCTACAAGCAAACATCGATAGACAAGCACACCTGCTGTAGCCAGAAACTGCAACGCGTTCTTTTCGGGGCTAGAATTGTCCCGTACACAACCAGCCGAAAATACTGAGAGGCATCTCTGAGCCACACTCGCTTGCACCAGATATACTCGCTTTTCCAACTCACGCCGCTGTCTGGATACTTCTCGTGGCACCCTTTCATCACCCTTACCAATGCAGGTATCGGGTGCAGCGGGCTGGGGTTGCGCTGGTACAAACTCTGACGGCTCTGATCGGCCGATGGGGGAGGTGTGTGTTGTTGTCTTGCTTTGTTTTGTATAAAACGCGGACTCAGAAAATGTAATACTCAGAAGATCTGATGCCACTTGACGGGCACTGGCGCGAGGCCATTCGCCGACTGCGTCCAGGCAGTAGTCCTGCAGCCGCAAGCAGACTATCGCAAGCAGGTACCCACACGGACCGATACTCAGTGAGGTGTCTGAGGCAGATGGGTAGAACTGAACTCAGTGGAGATATGGTTACGCTGTTGGTAGTAAAACCCATTGACTAAGGTCCTGCGTCTCTCGAGTGAACACGCGACAGTATATGTTCACGTAACAACGACGCTGAGTGAGTGATGTAGTTGCAGCATCTACGTGGAGGTGCACACATTGGCGGAAAGACACAAGCTGGTCCAAGTACTAGCTGGTACAAACACTAGCAGGTCTCTACTTTGAACAATGATATATGGTGCGTCCGTAATACAATACAGAAGTAGGGCATCACTTGGTGCGGGATTATTGACGGGCTTACTATCAGCGAATACAGTACACAACAATCGTGAACAGGACAAAACAGAGCCACAAGCATAGCCAATCAACGTGTGGGGACGACTGCGGTTGGTGCGATGGACCCCTGCGAGCTACACATCACGCGCAGTGCAGAACACGCGTATACATGCAACGGATGTGAGAATATGCTAACTGCATACGGCATGGAGCAAGCCTGATAGTATTGACTGTGCATTTGTATCGAACCCGGGAATATTCACGTATTGGCAGTTGAAAGGGTTCAATACTGAGAAAAAAATTGTAGCACTGGAGCGCGTGGGAAGATAGGACCCACTCTACAGACAACCACTGACATATTTGTACACCTGCTCTTGTCAACCTGTGGCTATGCGCAAAAGGCACCTAAAACATGCACTGCACCGCCTACCCCAACCCACCCAACACACATATCAACCCACCCAACACACATACCAACCCACCCAACACATATACCAACCCACCCAACATACATACCAACCCACCCAACACACATACCAACACATCCAACACACATACCAACCCACCCAACACACATACCAACACACATACCAACCCACCCAACACACATACCAACTGACCCAACACACATACCAAACCACCCAACACACATACCAACACATCTAACACACATACTAACCCACCCAACAAACATACCAACCCACCCAACACACATACCAGCCCACCCAACACACATACCAACCCACCCAACACACATACCAACCCACCCAACACACATACCAACCCACCTAACACACATACCAACCCACCCAACACACATACCAACCCACCCAACACACATACCAACCCATCCACAACACATACCAATCACACATTGAGAACTCTAAACCGCCAGACAATAACTCACCAGAGCTATACAGCGTTGCCTCATAGCCATACTGTCGCACGAGTGCATTCAGCAGCAGCTTGTGCCGCAGGAGCATATGCGTGTCCATGTACTCAGCTCCTTGCGACAGATCGCTGGCTTCGGCGCCATCGAGGCAAATGAAGTCACAGCACGCGACCACAGCTTGCAGGTAGGTGTCATAGCCCACCGACGCGGCGCTTAATTCCTCACCTGTGTTTCAGAGGAAATGGTATCAGCAAAGAGGAACCGGTCGGAAGTCCATTCAGGTCCGTGGTACACACTAATTGATGCACATCTGTTGGGGTGTGAGAACTCGATGCGGAACTGAGTTGAATATGGCGAGTCTAGTGGGTGCGTGATCTATGTATGTGATGACGAATCGAACGCATTACGATTCGGGTGTGGTTTGCTCACTCGTGCAGGTATGTGTATCCAGTCGGCGTTATTCACCTTGCAGGTGGACGCAGAATGCGATGGTTCACTGCCTACCACTGTAACCTATATGGACTTCAGTTCCGTTGCGAAGGTTAAACACAGGTATAAAAAACGCAGTCCTTCTGAACTCCTCACAGCGGGGGTCGAGTTTGTTCGTACTCAAAGCTATCACCATGGTGAATGTTGACCACTCTCTTGCTATATATGCAGTGAGTGAAACATGCGCGTAGATGTATGCTAAGGGTTGACATTGATATGAAGTATACATGAGTAACCTAATAGTAGTTGTGCATGCGGGGTTGGGTGTGAGGGGTTGTTCCATTTACTTCGAGCAGAGATCTCTGTTCACTGAAACCTTAGACGATTCCAAGAAAGATGCGGCTCTTGCTTATGCGTAGCATTTTCCGCTGAATGTCGCCCAGGGCTAGCAGTGCATGTTGTAAAGCTATTGCGCTACATTGTCGGTGTGCTGTACGATGCTGTTGGCCGTGCAAGTGCACGATATCACTAGGTAGCAGATCTCGCTATGCAGCACAATGTCAGTGAGGCCTGATTCGATAGGCATGCGACATGTGCTCCATAGTATTCGTTAAGGTGAACTGGTTTTATTGCAATAGGTCACGCAGCCATTGGCTCATTTTGTGGTGGAGACATGCTGCGGGTGTCTACATATACATTACAGTAGCGTAATTCTGTTGAATACAGTGCAGATAGTTATTTGATGTTGCTGGAGTCTCTCTTTCTATTTGCTATCTATGACCTTCTTTGACGCGACCCGGGATGGTTGTCAAACGAACACCCCACCTGAATCCAGGACGCTGTTGTGGGTGTATAACTCAGATCAAGTAGCACTATCTCGGTATTATTGAACGACGAGTTCTGCTATTTGCACGAGCGCTTCTTTGATATTGTCAGTATTTGACTGTAGGCTGTATTCCGACCATACATAGCTCTTACACTTTGAGTTTCGTGACACTTGATCATTAATAACGCCACTACGGGCTGATGTAGTCGAATTGGATGCCTATACTCTGGGCGGCGTGAGAATACGAATTGAAAATGCACGTGATCACTTTTGTTCATTCAAGTATATATTGTGACAGTGGTTGACTGCCACGAAATGTTGTCTTTTTCTGTGATGACGTGACGAGGATTAGGCTCATTTCTAATACCAACATTAAAATGCGAGATCCGGCTAGCTTCTCTGAATACACTCCGATACACCTGAAATAATACTGAATGAATCGTATTCGGATGTAGTATTGCATCGCACGAAACTCTGTGTTATACAATCTCGATCACTTCTTCCAGTTCAGGTTTATTATCAAGCGGAATAAAGTATAGCACGTCCAGAAAATCCTCCCCAGATGAATTGACGATTAACACATACTGTAACCACAACGGTAACATGTCAATATTACAGTTCGGTTGTGCTTGCATCCTGACATGCGTCGACATATAAAGTTGCATACGTTATAACTGTCAAATATAAAGACAATATGAATAAACGATACAACCCCCCCCCTCCCCCTTACCTTCACTAAGCAATCGCAGTAGTGTCTCGATCTCGATGATGGCCTCACTCACTAGCGCATCAGCCATATTTGTGTGGCGGAAACCGCACTCAACAGTGTTCCTATGCTTCGAGCAATGTTGCATTCATCCCAGTAGTTCACCCTTAGAAAATCGCTACACCGTCTATTCATTACTGTCGAAGAGGGGTTAGAAAATTACAAGTATTGCGCTGTATTCACGATTTAAGTTTATCCGTCGTGCATAGTATCCTACAACAGAGACATAAATACATATGTATTTATATGAATACACGAACACCATAGCCTTTGCCTACCAAGAAGGCAAAGCGAACAACTATAATAGCTTCCTCCTAAAAAACGAGATTCTAGGTAAACCCAAAACCCTAATATGAATTTCATAGCCAACAGTCCGGTACCGAACTGCGTTGTTGCGTTTTTAAACCTATGTGGGGCTGAGGGGCGTGGGCCCTCTGGAATCTGGATTGATGTAGTCTACACCGCCCTGCGGTGTTTGATTTAGAAGGCTATGCCTTCGGACATCAGTCCTTTTGATGCTACAATTTTTACCTTTCTACTTTTAGAGGGGGGTCACGATAAACTTTTTGAAAGGAATCCACCTAAAAAACCTAAGTACCGAAATATAGCCCCCCGAGTTCTCCCGTGTACCCTGTCTCAGATCAATTTAACACTAGCCTTTTATTCTCGTGCAAAACGGGAGAATCCACGGTTTCGTCAAATTAAACAGAAGTAGTAGCGTATGCGTGACCGCAATGTGAATTTAATGACTTAGGAAGCCGTGAATACCATCAGTGCGCAATCGTATAAAAAAAGCTGTAGCGGGTAAAGCATCTATGCCTGACAGTGTAAGCGATTGAACCTAACACTTCATGAGTTTTCGTCGTCTTGAAATGGGTTTTCAATACAGAGTACAGTCTAATAAAACTCTAACCTTCTGCGTCATAAACACCATAGATATTATGTAATGAACGCCATATATAGTTCGAATACGCAAATGGAGTCATATCTCCAATCCCATTGTATCTCCATGTATATGGAGAACTAATATAGTCAGGTATTTCTAGAAAATTCAAAAAAGTTAAACATTAGGCTACACTTCATTATCTTTTTTAACACAGGTGTCTGATTTCCGGAAAGAATTTAGGAATGGCGGCAGAATTTATATACATATTTAGCTTCTCCTACGTATTTATAAAAATATTTACAACAGCACCACAGCCAATCTACCGCTAATTCGCTACTAGTCCACTACTCTCTCTCTCTCTTTCTCTCTCTCGAGAGAAGATAAATATGTACATACACAACTTCCCAGGGCGACTTCCTTCCTTTTAGTTTTTTTTAATAATTTCTATAGACTATATTTAGTAATAATATAGTAAATAAATGGTATAGCAGTTGTTGAATTTAGGACGCTACATATGTAGCAGTAGTGAACTACAGAGATAAATAAAAAAATTGATCAGAGACTTTGAGAGTCAGAGTGGCCCGTCCACGTGACATCAAAAGAAGCAATAGAAAATAAAATACGAGGCGAGAAGAAGATAAAATCATACATAGAGGCTAGAGCCAACTGAAAAAACATAAAATACAACCCCGTGCATGTTTGTGAGTTTGTCGAACCGTAGCAAACTAAATAGCAATACTAGTAGCAAAATAGTCGACTCGGAATAGTCGACTCGGAATAGTCGACTCGTAATAGTCGACTCGGATGAGTCTAAGAGACTGAGACTCTGATACTCTGAGACTCAGAGACCTGAGTCTGGGACTCTGGGGCCTGGGCCCTGGGCCCTGGGGTCTGGCCGTCTGGGGACTGGGTGTCTGCCTATCTGGATTCTAGTCGTCAACATTGCGAAGTCGAGACGTACATAAAAAACAGAATCATTGCGTCATCACTCCTATAATCCTAGTAGGATTATTGCTACTGAATTACCTACATATTAGGCTAACCTGATGACCATGATGAGTTGATGACACTCGAGAAAAAAAATAAAAAATATACCACAACGGTTTGAACTCGAGTCTCACTATACTTAGTCCGGAGGATTGTCCGCTGATTTTCTTTAAAACAATATTAAAAGCAACTATAACACTTTGCTCATGGCCTCGTGCTGTCAAATATTGGAGTATGAAGCTGAAAAGTACTCTGAATACTCTTTATATAATACAAGAGCATCTATGGTCTTCTCTTTTGTACTCCACTTCCAACTTTCAAGTTGCAACAACTTCTTGCAAGTTTATTTCTAGCCCCGTTTTCGGCGTTTTGGGGGGTTGAGTTTTAGGGTGTTTCCGATAAAAATCAAAATCACAACAACTGTTTAAATAAAAACAAAAAAAAACTCCCAGAGTCCGATAGTCCCACAGCCACACGTGACAAATTGATCATTTCTATACATATGTATTATGTACAGTACTAAATATGTGCAAATAGGTCCGTTTTTTTAATTGCAAAAAGGCGATGAACGTTTGTTTTTACGTTCTCTCTGGGCGACAGGGCTCCGGGATACGTTTTCGTACGCTACATGACCTTGGCAATGAAAACTGCCAATATATTGGCATTTGCCACCCAACTATATTCGCCAAAATATGAGATTAAACTTTTTCAGTTTTGTATCCGGATCAATGTAAATTTGTTATATGTTGATCTATTTAGAACAGTTCCTGAATTTCTGTTTTTTGAAGTTGTCATATTGGAAAAACCAAAATAAATACGGTATGCGTAAAAACTTTTATAATTGTCTGCGAGTACGTTTTCAACTACATACCGTGTACGTTATGAGGCCTGCTGGGCGGTCTAACCACACAAATTATCAATTAGAGACAATCAAATTTTGAACAAAATAGCGAATACTTCAGTCTGAACTTCTGAAGTTCTCTGAACGGTTGTGATGCATACACGGTATTAAAAAACAAAAAACAAAAACACTACATACATAGTAATGACTACTGAGAGCCTGAGACTACAGTTTACATACACCGTTACGCGAGAAGAGTAGAAATATTTATTTAGATAACTCTCGAGTGACGAGTACTCTTTTGGTACTTTTTAGAACACAACAAGTTACAAGTAACACCACGTTTTGTTTAAAGAAAAAACCAAAAACTAACACAAGTCTCAAGTTTTTAATGTCTCATGACTGGGACTGTGTCTAAGACTCAGATTCTCAGACCTCAGACCTCAGCCCTCAGCCCTCAGTCTGAGGTCTCGTAGTAGGCCCCTCTCTACTCTTTCTGAACGAGAGAGGACTTGTAGGAGTTGGGAGCTGCACTGCTGGGGCCTGGGACACACAGTCAGTCAGTCACACACGACACACTCTTGTGACTCTCACTCACTGTAGCCTTCTTTTTCAGTTTTTCTCAATAGAATAATATTTGTTTTTGAGAAATAAAAAAAGTTTTTATATTATTTCTGAATTCGCCACACAGTATTCATACACGTCCATCTAAATTTACTTTAACCAATGAGTAGCCTGCATACATGTTTATTTAACGATTCTATTATAAATATGTAGATTTGATACTGTGACATCATCGACGATCACAAGCCAAGCGCCCCGCACAAGCGGCATGAATCATGATCAATTTATATCGGAACTTGAAAATGACACAAATACACGCCGCAGACGGTTGCAACGTTCATAAAAAACCCAGCGGTTTTTATAGCTGCAATTCATTTCAATTGACAATATGACCGCAGATAACTTTCACCCTAAAAATATAGCTGTGGCTGCTGTTTTAGTCCTCGGAGGTATTTATACAATCGACCGTATCGCACATCAACCTGTAGACTTAACGGCCGCCACAGTCGAATTTAATATTGCAGTAGATGGGCCAGCTGAATATGAAGCTCATAGTTCGCGTTGTCTAGATGTTGATTTGACAGAGTTGCCAGAGTGTGGTTTTCTACATGGCAATGAGAGCATGCATTTCTGCAAAGATGTCGAGAAACGACACGATAGTTTAGTAGTGGACGGATGTGATTGGAGGAAATTCACACGCAAGGGTGCACTTCAAATCTTGTCAGGTAAACATCTAATTATGGTCGGTGATTCGAGAGTCCGTTATCAGTACCTCTCTATGGCTTTTTGGTTAGAAAATGGTTACTGGCCTCCTGATACGTACGGAGAAGGCGACATCAAAAGTCCCGCAAAAGAAGGCCTATGGCGTGATATTGGCGGTTGGAAGCAATTTTTCAGTGACACAAATAGTTATCTAAATGGCGAGGAGGAATGTGACTGCTTTCGCGAGGACAAATGGCCAATTGAGAACATCATTTTCGAGAATCGGTACCTACACATGGAGAAGTACAACGTTAAAGTCACCTACTTAATGCATTATAAACGCAATAATTGGCCGAATACGAGCGACATTTGGGGCCACCATGGGTTTGGTCCACTCGCTTGTGATGACATAGAACAATGCGCTCTTGGAAAGTGTGATGCGCCTGTTGACTGGCACTATACGTATGAGGAGGCTATGAACGGCTTCTTCCAGAAGTTGGGTGCAACGGATGTATTCCTGTCCTTTGGTTGGGAACCTGAGCTGATCACATCTTTAACACAGACTGATTCTTGGCGGGATGCCGTGGGCAAGGCCACAGACGACGGTATCAATGTATACTTAATGAACGCACACTCCAACAAGGGCGGCCTTAAGGAGATATGGGCATCAATGAGTGATGAATTGTATGCCGAAACACAGAAGATGAATCACGATAACCCAATTCGCGGCCAGATCAACTTGGATTACCTAAAATTGACCAAAAACTACGCAGATATTGAGGGCTGGAAACCTTTCTGGGACAAGGTACATTACGATGCGTGGACACTCGAGGATCATACGCAATATTTTCTCCATAATATGGAGCAGGTGCATAAGCAGAGACGATAAGACGCTCTCTCCGTCACCCTTCAGCAGTCATAATGGCATACGCAGCCTATAGATACTTGTGTAACAATAAATTAAGATTGAAATGTATTCTTTCTACCTGAATATCAAGTCTCAGGGCGCGAGTGGAATTCTTTATGTCAAATAGATTTGTTTTTATTTGCATATATTGTGTGTTCTCGGTATTTTAAAAATGTAGATTCTGACTTTCGCTGAGTTGGTGATGCACTAAAATGTGATTCACTAATATGTTAAGTTCAATGTTTAGGGCGTTCCGCTTTGTCGACCGTTGACAATCAGCGAGACCGACAGTGAAACGTTAAGTACATACAGGCATGCTAAGTACTACTTACCAGAATTATGCGATCAGTTGACATCGAACAGCTCTAACCGCAACATAGGGAGCATGGCATATGTGAAGCCGATGACGAAAGCTTCTGTGCATGGTGTGTCTTCGCGTGTCATAGGACGATATAAACACACAGCAAAACAGAATAGAATTATTCGCGTATTTATTGACCGTCACAGATGCAAACTATTCCTCAACACTACAAGCAAGTAAACTATAAAACTGGAAACGATCTATATTTGCCCAGTGATCACGTTAATGTCGATGTGGCTGAAGGTATGCGTACATACATACATACACACATACGCACACACACACACACACATACACACACACAGACATATATATATATATATATTTATATACATATACATATA